TTAACTGTAATATTCTTTGAACTTGAAGCCTTGTACCTTCAAACAAGAAGAAGTTTTCACTATATACATATAAGGTAAATCTATGACCCCCTGGAGTGGGGCCAATTTTGACCCCAGGGCTATAGGTTATATCATATACCAAATATCAAAGCTCTAGGCCTTGTACTTTCAGACAAGATTTTTTTATTTTGCATTTTTGAAACTCCTTTTCTGGCCCTGTGACCTACTTATGCAACAGACCGGAACCATTTGATCAACTTTTGCAGGGGACCACCATAAGATGTTGAAAATTGCAAACATTTTCTAAGTCAAGGGCAATAACTCTAAAAATACTAAATAAATCCAGACGAAAATACCCAGGTGCACAACTACACATGCTGATCAACATTCCTGTAAAGTATCATGACTTTAGGTCAAATACTTTTTGAGTTACATGCGACACAAGTTGAAAAATTGCAAAATTTTACTAAGTCAAGGGCAATAACTCTAAAAATAGTAAAAATATCCGGACGAAAATACCCAGGTGCACAACTACACATGCTGATCAACATTCCTGTAAAGTATCATGACTCTAGGTCAAATACTTTTTGAGTTACATGCAACACAAGTTGAAAATTGCAAAATTTTACTAAGTCAAGGGCAATAACTCTAAAAATACTAAAAATGTCCAACAGAAAATACCCAGGTGCACAACTTCACATGCTGATCAACATTCCCATAAAGTTTCTTTGAATTCCAGCCATTAGTTGCAGAGAACTACTCCGGAAACGAAATTCGGACGTTTTACTAAGTCAAGGGCAATAACTCTAAAAATACTAAAAATATACAGACAAAAATACCTAGGTGCACAACTTCACATGCTGATCAACATTCCCATAAAGTTTCGTTGAATTCCAGCCATTAGTTGCAGAGAACTACTCCGGAAACGAAATTCGGACGTTTACTAAGTCAAGGGCAATAACTCTAAAAATACTAAAAATATCCAGACGAAAATACCTAGGTGCACAACTTCACATGTTGATCAACATTCCCATAAAGTTTCGTTGAATTCCAGCCATTAGTTGCAGAGAACTACTCCGGAAACGAAATTCGGACGGACGGATGGACGGACGGACGGACAGACGGACGGAAGGACGGACGGACAACGCCAAAACTATATCCCCCTCCCGATTCCATCGGCGGGGGATAATAATAAATACAATTGTGATTCTATCCATTGATGAAAATTTAGTGTTGTATTCCCAATAAAACGACATGTCTGGAAATGTGCATGTGCGTCAAATTAAAACTACATTTTCAATTAACAATTAACATACTCGTTAATTAAAAGTGAAAGTAAAAATATGTACATTTAATATAAATGGAAAACCTTTGTCTTTTTCTAATTTTGACCGATATCTAGTTACAATCACTTTCGTATTTCAATATTTTTTCCTGTGAACACTTAAAATAGTCCATATACGTACATAGGAAATGACTATTTATCTAATTTCCTACCATTCAACAATTGAAAACTGTTACAATTACATGTATGTACTTTTACTGTTTACATTCAGGATGTTAAGAACCCATTGCACGTTCTTCACGATTTTCTCGTGATTTTAGATTATTAAAGTACTATTAAATCAAGGATATACATTCCGGTCTAAGGTAGGTCGTTAGTTTATTCTGCGAAAATGTAGCATAAGCATGATATTATGTCTGTGCGTGTATTATTGTCTGTTTTATTTTAATAATTTATCATCTTATGATCGGTCACATAACCGACATTGATTTTGAATTTTCTTTTCTTTTTGGAAGTGTACATGTATTTTAAGATATTAAAATCGGTTATATTTTTAGACATTTTTACGTCATATAAAAAGGACAATTTAACTGTGAAATATTTGCATGCAGTTACTGTGCAAAACTTGCTTATAACAAAAAAGTGTAAGTGACAGATTTAGATTTTCTGGTATTATTGAGGCCCGTCTTGGTTTTTATGAGACATTAAAGTAATTTGTTGGCGACGCCGGTGAGCGGCGTCGTCTTTTATGGAATGCTTCGTTTTTTTTGACCGTGGTAGGAGCTGTTATTATTAGAAGTTAATAATTAGTTTTATAGTGAGTTTTAAATATCAAGTCAACAAAATTTTTTATTATTATTAAAATCATATTCATTTCTCATAGTGTGTCAAGTTTTAATACCGCATGTTTGTAACGTCGATTTTCATTAGATAATCGTGACGTTTATATAGATTCATAAATAAAGCTGCTGTCAATTTATGAAGAAATTTATACTATATAGTGACTAGGGTTATATAACCTTGTATCAACTGTTTATAATACATGTATAAGTTACAAAGATTTTTGACAGGTAATATGGTCCTATATAAATGTTTTTGTTTTATCTTTTTTTTTTTCATTTCTTTTTTTATAAATGGTTGTTTGTACATATGACTCGAGCCTTTAGGAGGAGGTTGTATTGCGAACAACCATTTATATGTGGTCATATAACCTGTAAATAACGAATTTATCGTATCACAAACTTCCTTTTTTAGGGAAAAAGTGAAATTTCTTCATACCTGGTTATTTAACTTGTAAAATGTCTTCATTATAATGAAGTGATGTTACACATTTTTGCTTTCTATGAATAATGCTACAGCTATTTCACATACATGTAATAGGTATCATGAATAAATGTTTAAACTTACAGAATAAGATTTACAATTTTTGAACGAGCCCTTAAAGTCCTTCAATCGCGTCCATACATACGGGTGTTAAAGGAACTCAACTTAGGTCCAAAAGCCTAAAACACACAATTTGAATTTATTAAATAGATCAGGTGGGGCACTTAAAACGGAAAGATGTGCAAAAGATTATTAAGAAATATATTCTAACTAATTTGAAAATCGTATAATTGTGCTATTTTTAGCCCGATATGAGTGAGAAAGCATTGCAACGCTTTTCAATGTTGGGACATTTTGCTTAATATAAGAATAGTTATTTTGGAAAAACGGTTCAAGCAAACGATCTTAAATTTTGCACACAAGTTTTTGGTCTCGACATGCATTCAATGGAGCATCCATTTTTTTGAATATTTCAAGTCCCGTCGTGTCAAACTTCAGTGGTGTCCCTTTAAACAGTCTTTTGAAAGTTTAACCATGAACGTAAATTACACTGATATTTTGTTTTAATAAGTCCTGTGTTTTAGTTGAATAAAAATATTCTCGGTTCACTGGGTCATTTTCTTTTTTAAGGATAAATAAAAAACCACTGCAAACCAAACTGCAAACGCTGCATGAGGTCAACATTATGTAATCATTCTTTGTCGTCACATTTGCTAAACATTAGTCCTGAATTAAGCACAGATCTTATCAAAATTATATAAAGTGCACATGAGCATTTGTGTGCATATGAGATAAAGCTCGACTCCAGCCACGTGTTGTATCCTTACGCCGCAAGTTTCTATAAATAGGTAAGACACTCCGCAACTGCTTGTTATTCCGTTAAGAGGTTTAAAAATAATAGTAAAAAAATGAAAGAAAAATAGTTGCCAAAGAACCTGATAAGATTGAAAACATGACCTGATTTGATATACTGGCACTGGTGGATATAGCAAATCAAAATAGCTGATGTTGCACAAACGTATTTCTTATTTCAGACTTAATTAGAATTGCATTACTCGTGTGATTGTTAATTGTTCTTTCATTTCCATTAAGCTTTTCGGTCAATAATATGATACACATCTTTTCCTAATTTTGTTAGTTCGGTAATTTTCGCCACCAGAGTTTTTATTTGATGATACTGAGTCGACCCTCTGATCCCGATCCCGGTCCAACGCCAAAGATACTTAAATCACACATATATATAGCCATTTAATTATTTAGATAACACCGGAAAATGTATATTGTAAACAATAATCAATTCCAAGGTCGCTTCTATTTTCAAAAAATTAAAAAACAGTTAAATATTTTCAGAAATTCTATTGATTATGGGTCGAGAGTCTACAAATTTAAATAACTACAATCTTTTTTCTATGATGCATGGCAGTCGGTTCTGAATATATTATAAGTTTAATAGCTTGATTCAATTTGTTAATTGTAGGAATATCTATTAAAGTAAGTATATATTACAATTAAGCTTGTACACGGGTCCCTATGGCATTTAGTTCCCATGAGCCGCATTCTTGAAAAAAAACAACAATAAGAATTGAAAAAAGTGCGCGTGTCACCAAAATTCAAAGGCTAAAACACACGAATGCTTATTAAATGATAAAAGTACATAAAAAATTAATCTAATTTTAGGATATAAGTAGAACAAGTATTTCTTAAATAATAGGTTATTTATATATGCACTTTTGTATGCAAGCCGCTGTAAAATCTCTTTGATAAATTTCCATTATTTATCTGTTTATTTTTATTATTTTATTTCATTATTTTTTTCATTTCCTTAATTTAGTTTTTCATTGTTTGTTAATAACATACATGTACAACATAAGCGCGAAAGTTCTCCTTACTTTAAAGTCACTGATATGTCTTTGTTCGTTTGTTTATACGTGACGCAATGTTATCAAATTTGAATAACTGTACTGATAACCGACTATTGGCAATTTCGTCTATATCCCTTTCGAACTGTCTAGCGCCCTCTGGCGGTCGATAAAATGTGTTATCTTTGAGAGTCCTTATCTGGATTTATAGGCCAATCTCGAGCGCGTTTGTAAACACAAATGTCCAAATTCTGTCTCAAATTTGGAAAAGGATCAAAATGAACGCAGGCATAACAACATAAGTAAGCTTTCGCTCTCAACACTCATTCATAGATAAGAGGCGGTACACGCACGACGAAATACTCTTGCTTTAAAGTCCTTTAGACCTCATTATAGTTATATTTCATATATTCAAATTAATAACAAAACAATATTAGTATATTTTTATATGTATTAGAATATCCTTTATTTACTTTTTTTGTAAAAATAGTATCTGTTGAAAGTGGGTTAAATTTGTTTGTTTATTTATTTAGTGAGTGTCTATATTCACGTATGGATGCGTTAAAGGAACAGAATCCAGATGCGTAAGTTAAATTTTTGTTTTAAATTTTCTATTTTGACTTTCGTTTAAAGAAAATAATGATATTAAGCATGTATCTATATTTACTTTTCTACTGATACATAAGTTGCAAGCTGTGCATGACTCGATAAAAAAAGGGTTTCAAGAGTTTTTCGCAGACACTTACTTAAGCAAACGAATAGAACGCGCTTGTTAAATTTGCATGTTATTCCTTTTAATATTGAAATCGAAGGTTCAATTTACTACTTCAACGAAAACAAGTCACAATTTCTTATAGCACCTGTAAACAAACAATGATTTTCTGGCTCCCATTCGCTTATTTTAAAAAGTCCCTACCGTTCGCTTGTTTTAATCTTGCACGGTTAAAAAATACATTAATATTTATTGCATTTAATCATAGTCGAACACAATCTTACAAAAACGTTTGATTAATAGTTGTCACTATGATCGAGGAGGCGCACATTTTATTTTACGGACTCTAAAACAAAATTATTCATTGATTTCACATTTATGTATCGACATTGTATATATTTATCCATCATTATTCAAGATCAACTTTATAATAAGGGAGATTTTACACGACATTACTTAACTGAACATAACAAAATACACACTGTAAGAGACTATCCCATCTTTTGCAATGAGTGATCGAGTAAGGCAAGGGTATTATTGTAAAGATAGCTATTTCCGGTTAGACAATATTTATAGCTAATCCCTCATTCGGCGTTGATAGTGCAAAACATTGATAAAGAAATCAGGTCTATTTTTGTTACAAATAAAACATTTCAAAATATACATGTCAATTACATATAACTTAGCCTGGTCTTTACGATAAATATACCAACAAGAGTAAGGTGAAGAGTACAAGTTATTCTGGACACAATATGCATCGTCACGGACCACGGACGTGACTCGAATATTGCTTACTTTCCCTGAAAATAAAACACTACTGACCTCTTTAACACAAAACAAGAAACATAATATAAAGTCTTGACCTCGGAAAACGGCATAGTCATCAAGTTTTGCTGAAAATTGAATACGAAATTAAACTGAGATTTTAATTACGGTTACATATGAATTCATTTTATTTTTAAATTATTTCCGTCATTAATTAAAAACCTATTGATTATTATTTTGTTCTCAGACAGCTGTCTATAGCGAGCTCAAAAGACTGAATAAGATTTTTAAACGTGTTATATTATGTTTGCTAGGGCATCCACATCATTTTGAAAATGTGAAAAGTAAATGCGCCTATCGTTAGGAAACGTTATGTACTCCAAAGAAATGTAATTAGCATCGGAACAACTCGGCTATTATTCCGAAGATTGACGGAAAGGGCCGAGAAGTTGCGATAATTAATTTTTACGTAGACATTCACAACACTAACGTATGTTTCGGAGTTAGTTGAAAAAGTCCATTGGTCCATTTAACATTCAAACATCATTTCTTCGCTTAATATCATCGCTTCGCTTACAGGCGGAAAGGAACAAAGTTTACCCATAGATGCTTGCTCACGTTGGGGTTGGGGCGGGGCATGATCTGATCCCCGAGCGTCTGTGAGTTTACCAAATCAGTACAAGAATACCCTGAACCATTTACGGTCTTTATTGATAGTACGTAACCAGGTCAAGGTTGTATGTCTGATTATAAATCAAAACATATTGTGTGATACGCTGTACACAAAACTAGGGGAAGTACTTTTATTTATAGAGTAGTCAAGTAGTTTAACATCCTTTACATGAAGACTTGGTTGTAAATTGGTTTAACATTTTGGACCATCATGCCCCAGAAATGCATGAATTTTGTTATTAAATGCTTTGTTTGTTTGATGTCCTGTTTTAAGTTCTAAAAGGTTACTGATTGACCATTTATCTGCCTATGTTGGCTTTTGGCAGATGGAACATTTACAGTGATTCAGTTATTTGTTTGAAAGTCAAAATATATTACTTTGTTTACAATTTGCCACTTTCACGACAAATAATTTCACAATCAGCGCTATTTCTTTCAATTGATAACCATCTAACATGCTCTTAAACCCTTATTTTAACGTTATAAAACTAATGTTTGACCTTTATAAAGAAGGAAACATGTATTCATTTCTGAGACATAATATATGTGCCTTAATTTAAACTATGAAATTATAAATGCTGAATTTATTTGGTGTTCGCGCCGGTTTGGCCCATATTAAACTTTGTTTTAATCTATTGCCATTTCGTTACACAGGATGTCTTTAATTAATTGGACTATACATAATTATGTTGGATACAAATCGCTTGAATCAAGTATTCGTTTTCTACTAATTTTTTATCTATGTATACATTCTGTTTTAAATTGAAGTAATAAAATTAAAATAATCAGCCATCAATAGCAAGAGTCTGGTTAGACTATACTGGTATAGTCCTTGGATATACGTACCTAGGTAGCCTCTTGTACCACAATCGTTTCCTATATACATGTATTGCTTAAGGGGGACCCGGGCGTTTTCCCCTTGTTACAGCTAAAAAACGCTGAATAACTTAATAATTTCAGCTTGAATAAAACAGGAAACAGAAATGTAAAGCTTTTCGACCTATGTCTGTATAGTGTTATTCGTTTTCATGTATCTGTTTACATATTTTACAAATTGTATCTTTTACAGTAAGCTCATCACGGGTAACAGAGAGGTAAGACTGAACAACGAGAATCTCAAACGACTAACAGAGGATCATCTGTATCATATTGCCCTTAGCAACGTTCAACATGATCTCAGGCAACTGTTCGGCGATGTCAAGGTATTAGACCATGCCAAGAGAATAGGGCGACTTCGATCACCTACCGTGGTATCCCTAGTAAAACTAAACGTTCGCCGAACTTTCTTCCAGTTTGGTTTGACTAAAGTTACGTTCGGTTACCGCGGCCATTCTTCTGGTTCAAAAATGGCGCCATACAACACGTAAACGGAAGTACATCCGATTCCAGACATGCACAATTCATCTTTCATAACCAGACTAAAGTCCGTGATCGAAGTCGCTCTTAGATTTAGCTGATTCTTATCCTTAACTTTTTTACTAAGACTACAACCATGTTTACTTTGTACTGATTCATTTACAAAGCGAACTCCTAATAAATTAAAAGTCACAAACTAAGATGTGTGTCCCATATATTCTAGGTTTTTGTAATCGTATTTTCCCGAGATAAAAGACTTAACTAATTGACGTGCATGTACATGTAGTGATTCTAAATATTTGATAAATGCAAATTATTCTATAATAGTCTTTAACACCCATTCGCTGTTTTTTTCAACATGACCGTCCTTTAATGGTCGCTTTAGTATCCAGTATACCCTATATTGAACTACTGTGTACTACTTTAAGCCATGAACAACAAGAGTATCTGAAAAATAGATGCTTCTTTCGAAAAGCAAATTAAGTGACGTTTATTGAAATATCTTATCAAGTCAAATTTTCGTTTCCTCTCTCTGGTTTGGATATAGATGTTGAACAAATAGGCTATTAAACTGTTCAGTACAAATTGAAGGATATATCTTGACCCGTAAACCGCCTGAAAAAAAGCATTTTGGATCGTATTATCACGCTAAATTGAGTCATTGCTTAAATTGATAAAATCAGTGACAGTCTATTTATTGAAAATAGTATGAATTGAAACAGTCTGTGAACTTACAAGGTGGTTATTTTCCATATTATAGAATATTACTGATAAACTGCCTATATTTAATACCTATTTTATAACGTCTTTTTCAGTTCGTATGTTTTGGGGGTCAATCATCTCGTATGGAAAAATTCGCCAGTTTTATTTCAAAAGAGCTTGGTCTAGAAGATAACGGACCGCCGAAGAATTACGCAGGAAACACGGATCGCTATGCCGTATACAAGGCCGGGCCTGTACTATCTGTTAGCGTAAGTCACGTGATTTTCACGTGATTAAGTCTTGTGAAAATCTTACCTTGAAAGTTTTATCTTGGACTAAACAAATAGTTTGAATAGGTCTTTGTAAATAAACGCTTTAGGAATAATTTGCTGATTTTTGTTTACAATGGTGATAGTAAATGATTCATTTCCTGTTTTAGACGAGAAATCGGTCATTTAACTTAAAGCACAAATCATTTTGAAATGAAATTGTTAAACGAAAGAGAAAGGAATATACTCAAATGAATAGGTCATTA